TATATATATAATATACACATGTGTGTATAAATTATATTTTAATTTATTACAAAAAAATTATTAAGTAATGACACACATCTTATAGAGATATGATACTTTTCATTAAAAACTATTTTCACATATACTATAAATATAACATATGTTGATATATTCTTAAAAGTGTAAATATAGATTACAGAGACACTTTTTATATGTGACTATATGTAACATTTCTTTTAATGATTGTTTTTTTTTTATATATCTAATATGTTAAAATATATTAATATTTCATTTATATTTTATTTTATTGGGGAATTTCTTTCACTTTATGACAAAATTGTCTTATTTTTTATTATTATTATAATATACTTTATTTTTTGATCAAATTTTTTTTACTTTTTTATTCATTAAAGATGTCATAATTTAGTTTACAAATATATGTTATTTTTCAATTTTTATTTTAGTTTATAATCCTTTTGATCTTGTATATGTACATTTTGTGTTTTGCTAGGAGAGGATCCAAATTAAGAGGAATGAGAATAATTGTCACACAAAATTTTTATTTTTTTTACTGAAACATATTTAATTAAAAATAAAATTACTATTATAAAAAATATGCATTGTTCTCATAAAATATTTTTATTTTAAATGAATGTAGGAATTTATAAGAGATACTATATTATCTTTATCTTAATAATTTATACCATGTTGTTCCTCTAATATTAAATAAGTCACTAGAAATTACAAAGTAACACTTAAATATAATATTAGATAGAACAAGAAAAAGAAGAAATTATCACTCTATTTATGAGAAATTTTTAATTTATAAAAAATATGTATATTAAATTTTTTATCAAAAAAATTATATTTTTAAAAGTTATTATATTTTTTAATAATAAAATATTATAAAATATTTTATTACTCTCACTTCTCACTTAACAAATTTTCTAAATTCGTCACCAGATACAATACATCTTTAAAATAAATGTTACCACGTTGAGTTTTTCATTGAATTTTTCTTTGTTTCTAATTATAATCAACAATCAATAATTTTTAAAGTTACTAAGAAATAAATTTATTTTGTACACGTCATTTATTATTAACTCGGTTTCTTATATATTCACTAGTAGGTTTCTAGTAATTGAATAAATGGTATCTTTATGGTAAAATTAATTAAAAATAACTAATTTAATTATTTTTTTGGTATTGTTGATTTATTTTGTGCTATGTTACTCATCATTAGGACCACATATATTAGTTATTTATCTCAAAATGAATGTTATAGACTAAAAATAACCACTTAATTTAAAACATGAAACTTTTTTATAGGGACACAAATTAAAATTTATTTTGTTTAGAAATTAATAACCCAATATTTTAGATAGATAGTATTTTTTTATGAAATTCAAAATCAAAACTCTATGGTACAAATCATATCACATAAGAAGTCATAAGAAAACATATTTACTTACAAGAATATTAAAATCGACCATTTAAGTTACTTTATTAATTACATATCTTATGTCATGTTTTAAAAAATACGATTTTTTTTTATTTAAATATATCACATGAGATTTGTAATTAACATAATAAATTGTCAATTTTAATTTAATAATTGTAATGAAATATTATCATTTCTTATAATAATTAGGAATTCTAATATATATATATATATTGTACTGACCGTACTTCGCACCCGGGCTCCGAGCCCGGATTAACGATACAAAGCCACCCTGGGCACACGCTGAGCGACGTCAGCCCGGTATTTGGGGCCCGGTATTTGGGCAGATCATTCCCGAACCCGGGGATCTCGTCCCAGATCAGAACCGCCCTCCAATTATATCATATCATATCTCATCATATCGTATCATATCATATCTTCCCTCCTACTTGATATGTTCCTTGTATATATATATATAGGTACAGAAAAAGTGTACTATCGATAAATATTAATTATAAAAAGAATTTATTTTTATAAAATTTAATCTTAAAATTTTAAATGGAGTAAATAATAATTATATTTAATTACACTACTCAAAAGTTAAAGAATATTTTTTCAACCAATGAACATGATTTGGAATAAGTGTTAGTTGTCCTATAAATACATTTATTTTCATATAAAAAATAAATAGACAGCTTATTAATAAACTCATAATAATTAAAAGTATAAAAAAAATTACTATTCAATACATTTAAAAGTAAACATATATTTCTTATATTTAGAATCTAAATTGAGTGAGGAAGAGTTGAAATAGTTAAAAATATAAAGACCTAGATTCAATTTTCATTGCGATCATTTTTATAATATTTTCTATCTAAAAAAAAAACTAAATAAAACTCTTATTTATTTTATATACTACAATGAGGGTATCATTATTATATGTTATCTCCATTTTCAAATTTTGTATTCTTATAAAATTTGAACATATCTTTATATATATATATAGTAGAAGAATCAAAGCTTCGTAATAGATGAAGTATTTAGAAAAAAGAGTTTTATTATCTATAACTATATAAGATTAGAAATAATATGATGTTTACTAAAAAATATATATATATATAATTTTTTATATAATGTTGGAAGAAAATATTTTTGGTATATAATTTGTTAGCCAAATTTGAAGAATTATAAAGGATAACTTTTGTAATGTGATACGTGGCTGACTAAGTGGCAAGTAGACAGGGGACAGCGGTGTATCCAGGAAACCGAGTTCCGGTCAATGGAAGACATCGTTGAAAACTTGAACCTAAGAAATATAAATACAAATATAAATATTATAATATAATTAATTGTAAATAGTGTACATTAACATTAATATATAATATTGATTATATTAATTTTCAATTCCTAAAAGTTGAATCCAAAGTTTTTAATATATATACTTTGCCGTTTTAGTCAACGTAATTATATCTTTGAGCTTTGAAAGATTATTTTATATTCATAAGAGTAAATTTAGCTACTAATTTTAAATATGAGATTTTATTTTATGTGATGTTGGTGATAATGTTTATTTAAGTGTGATTATTCACATTAAATTAAGTAGGCGCCGCCTGCTACTAGCCGCCATGGTATTATTTTTATTTTTTTTTGGTGCTTCCCATTCTCATGTTCTTGATTTATTCCTTTTCACTTTACATGTAAGGCCAAATTCAGTGTCTGTTTGTTTTAAAATCTTATATAATTAAAATAATAAATTAATTCTTCCGATGTTAAATGGTTGATAAAATTATCTTTAATAAAACTTAACGTACTTACATTAATTTCAACTGCAAATCTTGTATTAAAAAAGTAATATGACACGTGGAGTTTTGTTTGTAAACCATAGTTAATCATAATCTGAATTTATGTCTCAATCCTTATCCCAAAAAGGCTTTTTTTCATTTTTTTTCAAATTTTCACGTCACAAAGTTTGAAAGCCAGTATCATGTTCATGTAGTCAAAATCTGACCCCGGAAATGTTCAATGAGTGCTTTAGCATGCACTTGTTCTATGAAGGTTCATGAAAGGAACAAATCCTTTTTTTTTAATTATTATTTTGTTGGACCTAAAATTGACGACTCTGCCTCTTGAGCTAACTATGGCTTTGCCGTGTACATTTTATTCTTGGTTAAATCAGATAAACACTTCCAATATTGAGACTTTTTCTTCACACCCTTTTGCATCTTCTTGTTCTTTTCCTTCATGAATTTAGCTGGTTAATTTTCTCTGACAACACACCTTTCATCATGGGAAACACTTGTGGAAAACCAGTTGCTCACGTGTCTTCCTCCAATTTTAATGGTTAGTTTCTCTTTAATTTAGTCATCTTTATGTTCCACCACACCCCCTTTTTTCTTTTCTTCTTTGGTTCTTTGATGTCTCTGTGTGTGGTTCCTTTCATTTGTGCACTAATCTTTTGCAAGTTGCAACGAGTTTTAAGTTTGACATTTTGCATGTTAAGCTAATGTTTTAACTCTTTCTCTTTAGTTTCTGAAGGTTAAAACTGGTGTCCATGTGATATAACACTTCAAGATTATAGGGTGTTCTATTTATTTGTCGTTGTCTAATCTTTGGTGTGAAAAATGAAGATTCTGAAGCTGCTTTGCATTCAGGTTGCAAAGAATGTTGAACAATTTTGAAGTTTTGGAGATACTTGGCACTTAAAGGACAAAAATTTGTTAAGTTCTTTAAAACGGTTGTCGCTGTTTTTCAATCAAAATTGGAGTTTTATAGCAATGTATATTAATGAGATTTGCATCAAATATAAGTGCATCTTACCGAGTTAAAACTCCAATTCTGATTTGAAAATAATACTGACACCTAAGTGTAACTAAGTTTTGTTTTGTCCTTTATTAAAATCATTTCCGTTGCTTTCTTATAAGAATTAGACATCAATGAATAATTGGTTATAACATGTTTTGATTAAATCAATGAAATGTAAACTTCAGAAAAAATAGTGGAGCCTTATGTGTGAATATTTTCTGTGATATTGTTAAAGCTTGTATTATAAGCACTAGCAAGCATTGCCCCAAAATTTTTAATCCAAGATACTTGCTCAAAACTTCATTGCTCATTTTAGAGTTAGAAATTTCCTAACACAGCTATGTTGCAAGGTTTTAGAAAGTTAATCTCTTGGTTGTTTTTAACCTGCTTCTCATCTATTAACAGGAAATAAGAAGCCTGAAAGTAAGCCAAGGCAGCATTCAAATTCTTCTGAAAAAAAACCTGCTCCAAAATCATCAGAGTCAAATCTTACCAAATCCATCTCTAGTAACCTTAAGTCCTTCAGCTTGAATGATCTAAAGGAGGCCACTAAGAACTTCCGGCGAGAAAATTTAATCGGCGAGGGAGGATTCGGCCGCGTCTTCAAAGGATGGATTGATGAAAACACATATGGTCCTACAAAACCAGGCAGTGGAATTGTGGTGGCCATTAAAAATCTTAAGCCAGAAAGTTTCCAAGGACACAAGGAATGGCTTGTATGTGTAACAAGAACCATAAACCAAAGCTTTTTGTTTTTTACCTTGACTCATTGTTGGTCTTGCTTTACATTGATGACTGATTTTACATCCTTTGAAATGGCAGACAGAAGTCAATTATCTTGGGCAGCTTCAGCATGAAAATTTGGTTAAACTTATAGGTTATTGCTTGGAAGGTAAAAACAGGCTTCTGGTTTATGAGTTCATGCAAAAAGGAAGTTTGGAGAATCATTTATTCAGAAGTAAGTACATTTCACTCCATGCGTATTTGGTCTCTCTGTTGTCCAACTTCCCTTTCCTATCAATTTCTCTTATTTGAGTAGTTTTATTTATACACAGAAAGTGTATTATGATAAAGATATTTTAATGAATTACATGATTGTGTGTACACATTTGAGGGATAACTTCAATTTGATGTGCTAGATGCATTCCAAAAGCTTATTATCCTGATTCTTTATTTGGTTGGTCTTGATTCACAACATTTGATTTTTTTTTTTAAAACTATTTTAGACTACCAATTTAAACTGAATCATAATTGTTATTTATTCATAACATCTTAATTATAATGTTCTTTTCTATATCTGCAGAAGGTGTTCAACCTATGGCTTGGGTTACAAGGGTCAACATAGCAATTGGTATTGCAAGAGGATTAACATTCTTACATTCCTTGGACGCAAATGTTATCTTTCGTGATTTAAAGGCTTCCAACATCCTACTTGATTCAGTATGTGACATTAAATCTTAAAAATTTGGTTTAACAATCTGTAATGACTTTATATTCTGGTTTATGTGAATTTCCATTCTGAAAAGGTAGCCTAATTTATATGTAGGACTTCAATGCAAAACTTTCGGATTTTGGTTTGGCAAGAGATGGTCCTACTGGAGATAACACTCACGTTTCTACTAGAGTTATAGGAACTCAAGGCTACGCAGCACCTGAGTATGTTGCTACAGGTATGGTTCCTTTGTATTGATCAGTGTTGAGATCTAAATTCAGCTGAAACTAGTTCCTTTTCTGTAAAAAATGTTTCCAATATATCTTTCTTTTGTTTTGAATTATTATTTTTTCAACTACATGATAATTCATAAAAAATCATTTCCACAATTCACTTCGATGTTATTTTTTTTAATATTCTTTTTTTTACTTCTAGTTGTCTTGTTTGAGGTAGAAAAAAAAATAATAAACTAGGTTCTTTCATGCTGCTCGTTAACATTATCAGAAGAAGACATAATATGAAGAGTGGTAGCTTAAAACTGGTACAGAAAATGATGTTGAGAACTGCTGGTTATGCATATATGGGACCTGACAGAGAGCATATTTGCTCACCTAAGATTCCGAACTTGTCATGAACCAAGTATCCTAAAAACTTTAACTGTTAGGTTTCAGTTTCACACATGAATATTATTTGTAAGAGAAATGTTAACAAAATACTCTCTATCACACTTTTTTAAACACACTCTTTTCATTGGTTGAAATTTATTCAAACATACAAAATTTGATAGGTCTCACACCTTATTTAATGATTCACTATTTTGTAGTTTTCAATAAATTGTAACCAATAAAAGTGAGTGTTTTAAGAGTAGTACGTTATAGAGTGTGTTGTTAACACTATTGTTGTTATATTTCTAACATGCTCCTTAATTCTATTAATATAGCTTTCACTATGCAGTTATGTCATGTGCATATTAGTGATCATATTTTTGCTTATTTTTAAGTTGGCATTGAAATGAACAGGTCACTTGACTCCAAGGAGTGATGTATACAGCTTTGGTGTAGTCTTGTTAGAGTTACTGACAGGAAGGCGTGCCGTGGAAGACGATAGACCCGGATTTTCAGAGGAAACACTGGTGGATTGGGCAAAGCCATTCTTGAGTGATAGCAGAAGAGTTTTGAGAATAATGGACACAAGGTTGGGGGGTCAATACTCCAAGAAAGGAGCACAAGCTGCAGCTGCACTTGCATTGCAATGCCTCAACACTGACCCAAAATTTAGACCACCTATGGTGGAAGTTCTAGCAGCATTGGAAGGACTTAATTCCACAAATTCATTCCCAAGGACACCAAAATCTGATAACCATGCAACCAAACATTCTGGTGCTCATTCACAGAAGTAAAATGGAAATGCAAAAATATAAGCTTCTTGGCTTGTGTCTTTTTTCACTTTGCATCAAAAGAATACTAAGTTATGCCAACAAATGCTTTGTTCTTTCATTTCTTTGCCTATGTGAAGAATGTCCATCTTTGCGGGTTGTTGAGTGTAGAGTATTACATTGTGTTACAAGGTATACATTAATTTGTATGAATTTTTTCAGCTCTTAGGATGGGTATTGTTACGTATATACAGAATTGGAAAAATTAAATTTTAATGGATATGTTTAAGTGAGTATTTTTTATTCATAAAATATCTGTTTTAGCTAGTTTTACGCTTCAAAGTTCGAACTAATCGTATATCAATACAAAGCAATACTAATTATTGGCATGGAATTGCGGCAAATAAAAATCACGTCACAATAAAGTTGGAGTTAACATTCAAAAATTAGATCTGAAAATTTGGAAGCCTCGAAAGAAAATAAAAAATTGTAAAGCATATTTCCTATGATTATAAAATCACAATCTTAGAAGTCCAAAATTCAAAATAATATGTGACTAATCTTAGTAGTTTAAAAATTGAAAATAATATATAATTAGAATGATAATATTATTATATGTATAGATACTAAAATAAATAGTTGAATTTAAAGAATTATTTAATATTTTAAGAATTTATTTGATAATTCTTTAATTTTAAGAATTAATATGATATTAGCTTTTAATTTAAGAGGATTATATTTTTCTATTATTAATAATGGTTATTTTAATTCAAATTAAATATTAGCATGTGCTTTTCATCAATAATGAAATGCATATAATTTATTTTAAATACAAATTTTTAAAAAAATGTCGATCCATAAAATGTCAAATAATAATATTAATAATTATATTCATATATATATACACCGGTGTCACTTTTACTAAGTGTTACACCGCTCAATAACTTTATATTAAATGTGAATTTTGAAAATCTAACCGTTAGATTGAAAGTTCATATCTCTTAGGTCATATATGTCAAATTTTGTTAAAATTAAAAAATAACTTGAAAGTAATCAAAGTGTTTATATTTTAGTATATTTTGAAATATATATATTACGACAATTTTGTTTTATGAGAATAAAATATCAAATCTTCTTAGATTAATATAAAATTTGACATATATGATCTAAGAGATATAAACTTTCAATCTAACGGTTGAATTTTCAAAATTCACATTTAATATAAAGTTATTGAGCAGTATAACACTTAGTAAAAGTTACACCGGTGTCGTCTGAACCCTCCTCGTATATATATATATATATATATATAACCACTTATTCGATGTAAATTTAAATAATTTGTAATCTTATACACCAAATTAATTATATTATATTAATATAAATTTAAATAAAATATCAAATCTTAAAATATAATAAGTAAACATATTAATGTAAAATGATCAATAGGGTATATAATATATAAGTTTACTTAAATTATAAATTAAATATTATTTATATAAAAAAGTACATTTAAAAATAATGTCACAAGTTTTTTGGCCAGTACCTTAAGGCTTTTTTTTTTTTTTTTTTTTTTTTTTTTTTTTTTTTTTTTTTTTTCTTACGCAAGAGATATGAGCAAGCTTGGAAGCTTAATTTTGGTTAGCTTTTTATTTCATAGCCATGTGTAATAGAGGTAAGGGAAAAGAAGGATTTAATTTGTTTTTAGAGCCTCCCTTCAAATTTTCTGTCCTTCTAGACCGCAAATTTCTACTCTGCTTTGTGCACTCCGATGAGGATTTGGCGTTGAAGCAGCGGCGAGAGTTGTACGTGGAGATGGTTCAGGATCCCGACCAGGGATTGCACAAGGTTGCGCTGGAGAGCATGAGGTAACCCTAGTTGTATGCTCGAATGGAACAAATTTTGATTTGAATGAGGGTTTTTAGCTTTCTTTTATGTATAATTTTCTGTGTTTGAAATTGGGATGTGTGGTTGTGTTTTGTAGACAAGAAATTTGAACTTCGACGAGTTCCATGACTTCAGTTCCTAAGCCGTTGAAGTTTCTATTTCTATGGCATCTCTATTTATTTCTAAACTATTATGCTTTTAATAATTAAGTGATAGGTTATCATCCTGGAGTCTTCTAAGTGATAAAGTGATCCAATACTAAGCTTCTAATAAGTTTGGATTTGAAAACTTATTTAAGAGTGGTATTTTATAATTGAAAGATTTATGGATGGAGTTTGACTTACAATGGAGTGAATGTTCTAAAGATTTTTTTAGGAGGAAGCTATTTTGACCTGTAAGCTTTTGGCATGATAAACCAGATGCTGCTGTCTTGTGTTTTTTTTTTTTTTTTTTCTTTCTTACTTTTATGTGTTGTCTGGGTTAAATTAACTCTTTCTTTGATAAACATGCTATATTTGTAATTTTTTTATTGTAATTTTGCAGATACCTTCCTGGACCAGATGATATGCTAGTTTTGGACATAGCTTATACAATCTATAAAAAAATTGGAGAATATCTGAATGCCCTTCAAATTGCACTGTTCATAGATAACCTGCAGGTTTGACACTGAAATTCTTTGTAGTAGCTTTTTTAACACTAGTTTGTGTTCAATTTAAAGGAGTCTCTCTCTCTATACACACTCATGTATAATTCACAAAATAATTTAAATATTTTATTTCTTAAATTTTTGTGTCTTGAAACTAACTAATTGCAGTGTTGTTAACAGTATGTGAGGCAGGTGTTCACCTCTTGTAATGATGTGCTGCTGAAAGAAGCAATTCTGTTACATGCTTGCACGTCATCTAAGTCCTGAATACCGTGTTAGTACTTTGGGTGAAGTTATCTTCTCTCATGTTTTTTTTTTTTTTTGTAAGGTAGTGTTACAGATTAGTTTTTTAAGATTATGCAGTCAAGTCTTTTTAGCTGTTGATGTTGACAAGTGGCAAAGCTAGAGGGAGATAGCTACTGAGAAGATTCCTCTATCAGATTTATCTGGAGATTCTCGATGGTTAGGATATATTTATTATGTTGATTGTTATTTACATGCAGGGGATTACTTTTGAGCTCGATGAGGACAGAGAAATGTTGCAGGATATCACAAACAATTCTAAGCTAAGAGAAGGATATCTCACCCTTGCTCGTGATCTTGAAGTCATGGAGCCCAAGTCGCCTGAGGATATATATACAAGGTGAGGTTTTGATGATAATTTTACTTTTGCCTAAATGTATTCTGTACAAGATATAACTCCCTGAGATTTTTACATCTTGTAGGCGCACTTGCTTGATGGTCGGGTTAGTGCTGGAGCAACTGTTGATTCAACTAGACAGTTGCTGCTACTTTTGTCAATGCATTGCCATTTGTAAATGCTGGCTTTGGTCAGGTACAATGTATTTCATATGTCACGATTTTGTATGTTGTAATTGTAGTGATTTTGGGTTAATGATCTCTTTTGTTCTTTTCAATCTTCTACTTCCCTCGCTTCCCATTATTGTTTTGCAGGATAAATTAATGACCGTTTCATCAAAGTCTTCATGTAGTGGTTCTTCTGGAAATTGGCTTTTCAAAAATAAGGAACATGGGAAGACTGTTGAATGAGTTTTTCTTATCTGTGGTGTGGACTATATAATTTCATTTGCAATACTTATGTATCATAACAGGGTATGATTTTATTCTGGGATGTTGACTCGGGACTTGCTCAAATTAACAAATACTTCCATAGTAATGATAATCATGTCATTGCTGGTGCATTATTGGGAGTTGGAATTGTCAATTGTGGTATCAAGAATGACTGTGATCCTGTGAGTTTCTGTTGCCTTTCCCTATGCTTGATATGAGAGTATGGTGTAGCTTTTGTTTCTATATTAGATGTTATTTGTCCAATTTTCAGGCAATGACACTTCTAGGTGACTATACAGATAAAGAAGACACTTCAATCAGGATTGGTGCAATTATGGGTTTGGGAATTGCATATGCTGGTTCCCAGAATGAGCAGGTGAGCTGTTTCTCTATTTTTTGAAATATTGTTGATATACATGTTACTTCCTATTTGCAAATGTAAAGATTTTAATTTACTCTTGCTTATTGAAAGCTATACTGAATGATACTAAAGTTCCACTTGATGTGAGTGCTTTGACTGCTATTTCTTTGGGCTTGATGATTATTAAGTAAAAAGAATGCATCTTTTGGCTGTCGAAAATTGAAGACAAACAGGGATACATTTTTTGGTGGTTAAAAACTACCAGAAAATGTGAAAAACAAAGTTATATATTGCGGCTGTTTAAAACGGCCAAAAAGGTTGAATCAAGCAAATAACAATTATTAATAACGCTGGAAATGTGCTTTGTAATTTTTACCCGTCACAAATCAAACATTTTTGTAGTGGAATGATATACATACTATTTAAATACAACAAATAAATGTATGCTAAAATAATTGTTTATTCAAATAAAAAAAATATATATTTATTTGAATAAACAATATTTTTATGCAGATAAATGATTAACATATTCGAATAGTTGGCATCATGAAGGATCATATTTAATTTGTAAGAATGATAATCTGAAATGCAATTAGAAGTTTGTGACTTCTTAAACAAGAATGTATAATTTGGTCTCTTTAAAATTTGGTCTGACTTGTTTAATAAAAATAAGATCAGATTTAAGTTTTTAAGAAAACCTATTTATTTAAAAAAAGAATGAGCTTAGACTTATAAAAAAAATTGTTAGATTTGATAGGTCAGCTGATTTATCTATATAATATAATAAAAAAATTAATATAAATATATTATTTGAATAAGAATATAAGATTATCCTATTTCATCATAACCTGTGCGTGAGTGTACGTTAGTGTACATGGATGTACATGAATTATCCCTTTAACAGAAAATAATTTCATCTATTCACTCTTTGTGTCATTATATATGTACCCAATACCCTTAAGATCATTTCATGTATAATGAATTTTTTTTAATTTGTAAATTTTTATCTCAACTATTTTAGTTTTGTTAAAATATGAGTTGGTTATTTATAATATACCAAATTAGATATAAGAAATATTTAAAATATTTTTTTCATACGATTATCCTTTTTCATTATATATAAATGTATAGACTTACGGTCTATGTATGAGTGTATCCCAACATATATGATTGTGCATGAATTGTTCGTCTATATTTTATCATGTAAATTAAAGAATAACTCTCAATGACATATTTAAAAACAAATTTGTTAATTTTTTAAAAATTAAGTTTATCAACCCAATTAACATTATTAATATTAAATAGGCTAATAGATCATACTAAACTTTTAAAAAGGTCATAACATGCCTATAAAAAAACCTATAATAAATAATAGATGAGACTTACCCTTTAATTTTGTAGAACTGACTCAACTTATATATTCAAACTCTGATCTGACTTGACCTATTCTCATCCCTACTCGTGCCCTTGGAAAGTTATAGCTATTATCAACTAAAAAAAATGAAAACATCCATATAATTGTCTTTAAGCACTTGAACAAAAAGTTCTTCAATTTCACCAAAGTATCAAACAATTTTCAAATTTTTAAAAAATTTGTAAACTTGATCTATGCATTAAAAACTTCAAATTCAACAGTTAGATCATTGAAATTTGATATAGAACATGAATTAGTGAATAGAATAAGTATAGGTAGATTTAGTCTAGCTAGACTTACTCTACTCAATAACTTATGCTCTACATCAATTTTTAGTGATCCAACTATTAAACTAAAAGTTCTTAATGTATAGATTAAGTCTACAAATTTTTTAAGAATTTGAAAATTATTTGATACTTCATTTTATTAATTGAAATTGATGGGTAATCATAAAAATATTATATATGTTAATTTGAATGAAGGGGTGCCCTGTTTGGATGAAGACTCGTCGGTTGAGGTGTTTCTTTCGGCCTCATTAATATAAATATATTATTTGAATAAGAATATAAGATTATCCTATTTCATCATAACCTGTGCGTGAGTGTACGTTAGTGTACATGGATGTACATGAATTATCCCTTTAACAGAAAATAATTTCATCTATTCACTCTTTGTGTCATTATATATGTACCCAATACCCTTAAGATCATTTCATGTATAATGAATTTTTTTTAATTTGTAAATTTTTATCTCAACTATTTTAGTTTTGTTAAAATATGAGTTGGTTATTTATAATATACCAAATTAGATATAAGAAATATTTAAAATATTTTTTTCATACGATTATCCTTTTTCATTATATATAAATGTATAGACTTACGGTCTATGTATGAGTGTATCCCAACATATATGATTGTGCATGAATTGTTCGTCTATATTTTATCATGTAAATTAAAGAATAACTCTCAATGACATATTTAAAAACAAATTTGTTAATTTTTTAAAAATTAAGTTTATCAACCCAATTAACATTATTAATATTAAATAGGCTAATAGATCATACTAAACTTTTAAAAAGGTCATAACATGCCTATAAAAAAACCTATAATAAATAATAGATGAGACTTACCCTTTAATTTTGTAGAACTGACTCAACTTATATATTCAAACTCTGATCTGACTTGACCTATTCTCATCCCTACTCGTGCCCTTGGAAAGTTATAGCTATTATCAACTAAAAAAAATGAAAACATCCATATAATTGTCTTTAAGCACTTGAACAAAAAGTTCTTCAATTTCACCAAAGTATCAAACAATTTTCAAATTTTTAAAAAATTTGTAAACTTGATCTATGCATTAAAAACTTCAAATTCAACAGTTAGATCATTGAAATTTGATATAGAACATGAATTAGTGAATAGAATAAGTATAGGTAGATTTAGTCTAGCTAGACTTACTCTACTCAATAACTTATGCTCTACATCAATTTTTAGTGATCCAACTATTAAACTAAAAGTTCTTAATGTATAGATTAAGTCTACAAATTTTTTAAGAATTTGAAAATTATTTGATACTTCATTTTATTAATTGAAATTGATGGGTAATCATAAAAATATTATATATGTTAATTTGAATTAATGAAATCGAAGTATCAAATAATTTATAAATTTTTTAAAAATTTGCAAACCTGACCTATGTATCAAAAACTTTTAATTCAATGATTAAGTCATTGAAATTTGATGTAAAACATGACTAAGTGGATCACTTATCTATATATATATATATATACACACACACACACGCACACACTAGTGGAGTCGAAACACTTTGTACCTCTATATTTTATTTAATAAAAATGTTAAAAAATTATCAATGTTTATAGATCAACTAGTGTTGGGCTTGATCCTCAAATCTTAAGTTCTTAAGTTCGAGTCTTTGTTTGTAGAGGTAATTAATTTTTAATATTATTTAAAAATTTAAGGATAAAATCGTCTAAAACTACGTACACTGATTAGGCTACCTCCTTTATATATGTTATAGATACACACACATATATATGAAGAAGGATCCACTTATTATAAGAGTAAGTCTACTCTACTTAATAACTCACGTTCTACATCAACTTTTAATGATTCAATTATTAAATTAAAAGTTCTTAATGCATTAATCAAGTCTGCATATTTTTAGAAAATTTGAAAACTATTTGATATTATGTTTCTTTAATTCAAATTGATGGATAATTATAAAGTACTTTATATGTTGATTTACATCGTTGCTCTTCATAGAATTTCTTTGTCTACTATTGTGTTTAATTGTGAAGAGTTAAAAAATAATAATTTTTTTTTCTTTTTAGTTGAATAAATGATAGAATAAGATAATTAATTAACAAAAATTTCCTTTACATTGTTTAAAAAAATTCTCCTCAACCGTTGGTCTCATAATTCAAATTGATGGATAATTATAAAGTACTTTATATGTTGATTTACATTTATATAACGAAATATCAAATAATTTTTAAATTTTTTTAAAATTTATAGACTTGATTTATACACTAAGAACTTTTGATTCAATGATTAAATCATTAAAATTTGATGTAAAACATGAGTTATTGGATGAATTAAGTCTAGGTAAACTTATTCTTGGAGTAAGGTGATTCTTCTTCTCTCTCTATATATACACATGTATATATATATATATATA